ATTATTCCGGATTATTAGGTGGGGAGTGGCTATGGAATCACAAGGATCTTTAGAGGTGAAAGAAGGAAGCAGAAGTGACAGGGTCAGAGTGTGTGAGATGAGGACAGGACCAGCTAGTGTTGCCTTTGAGGATGGAGACAGGGCCCACAAGCCAAGGAATGTGGGTAGCCCCCAGGAGCTGGAAGAGGCAAAAACATGGATTCTCTGTTGTTGTTGTTTTCGTTTTCTACTGCTAACAGATCACTTGAGACCGGTAATTCAAATGAAACTTATTCTTCACGCTTCTGGAGCCTGGGAAATCCAAGACCAAGATGCTGGCATTTAGCAAGGGCCTTCCTGCTGCATCTGGACGTGGTACAGGCAAAACATGGTGAGACCAAGCAAATGTGTGTGCTCAGGTCCCACTTGGTGTCTGAAGGACTTCATGGGGGCACCCACCCTCATGGCCTCATCTAATCCTAATTATCTCCCAAAGTCCACACCTCCAAATACCACCAACATGGGAATACGGGGATTAAGTTTAGGGGTACACACTCAAACTGTAGCCTCCAGAAGGCACCAACCCCGCCAGCACCTTCTAAAATGATGTGACATAATTTTAGACTTCTCACCTCCAGAACAAAAGAAAATAAAATTGTGTTGTTTAAAACACAGCATTCATTGTAATTTGCTCCAGAGGCAAAGGGAACTGACACAGGCTATGTGCCACTTGCAGGGTGCCCTAAAGCCTATGGTGACTTAGACTCGGTGGCCCCTCGGCAGCAGCCACACACTGAAATGGCAGTGTCATGCAGCTGCCCAAGCTCCCAGGAGAGAAATCAGCTTCACTTTGTTTGCCGCTGAGATTTCAAGTTGTCTGTTACAATAGCAAGTACACTTACCTTGTAACTAACCTAGTACTTTTTATAGAACTGAATATTCCCTCTATCAACAGAAGTATTTCTGAAGACAGGAAGGGGAAAGCACTCAGAAAACCAAGTAAGAATGTAGAAATGAAAAGCAGGTGCACAGAAGACTCTAGAAGGGGCACATAACAGAAGGTGGTTAGGGAACAGGGAGAAACCTACACTTGTCTTGGGATGCTAGAGTCCACCAGGCCTGGAAGTTCCTGAGAAAATGCAGTAACTACAGGATCTTTGCCCTTGGCATGCTGGGAGCTAAAGCAGACCTGCTCCCTGTACCTTCAAGTTCTGATCAGTGACAGGCACAGGAGCTGTGCTTGGCAAATCCATGACTGTGGTTCATGGGCTAAAAGACCAATGACTTCCATTTCTAGCAAAAGAATGGCATCAATAATCTGAAAACCTTCCTGCAAGACTGTAACTCAGGGAGAAATGTTCGTGACAACCTGTTATATGCATCCTTAACTCCTGTCTAACTAATCTAACAGGGTTATGAACTGCTTTGAAGTCACTAAAGAAATCCAAGTGGTCTATTTCCCATTTGACTTTCAATAAATAGTCATGTTTATATTTCCATTTGATTCAATTTTGGTTGGGCTGTCATGTCTACTTTTTGAAGAAAATCCTAAGTAAAATTAGTGTCTATCAGATTTATGAGAACTTTAGCTACACATGGTCTGGCTCCCCTGGGAAATGGAGGTGAACAGGGCCAGCAAAATGTATTTGCCAAAGAGATTTTGTTCACATCACTGCCAAAACTCGGGGAGCCTGGCAGGAGTGAGTAGCAGTGTGGCTGGTAATTATGTCCTCCCTCTGCTGTGGAATGCCATTACCGCTGTTAGATGAAACAGAAAGACTCTCGCTAAATCCAACTTTGCTAATCTGGTTCTGCAATAACTCTCATAAAACAAGCAGTCTCACCCCATTTCTCTGCAAATATTTTGCAGTGGAGGGAGCCGTGGTGGGGTCTCAAATCATTAAGACTGGATTACTTCTACAGCGGACAGACGTTTGCCCAAATACGATGCAATGCCATCAATCACTCATAAGTAACAATGTTCCATATTTGCACAGCACTTCGTCCTGCTCTCCAGAGGCCTTTACAAACTGCCTCATTAATCCTACATCTTGGGAAGAGGCACCTGCAAGTCACAGGGTTCACTTCCAGGCAGTGGAGATTCCAAGAGGCAAAGGCCCTTTCGGGCTGATCCTGGGTCACTGGCTCAGAGAAGGGCAACACTCAAAATAGCTGAGTGAGTTTGTTAAATGGCACTGTCTTTGGCATCCTCATGGTAGGGTGACTGATAATTTAGTAGGTTAAAGTGCCAAGTGCTGTGCCTGTATACTGGAACACTCAACAAACTTTAGCTCCTATTCCCACCTTCCTGCTACCCATACTGGCTGACAGGGATCCCCTCACATTTGTCTGCAGGGGAGAGGGCTCAGACACAGGCAAGCTGCAGGCTTGCCATGCTGTGGAGGGAGTAAGAAGAGAGAGGAGGCCCTGGGGAGCTATGTAGGGAGTGCACTGTGCCAGGCATGGTGCCAGCCCCTGGACATAAATAGACCAGTGAGAGCCAGCCATGGAATTGAGGAGGATAGAGCACACAGGTGGTGGCAAGTGTGATAGGGACAGTACACAGCAGGGGACTGGGTTGAGACAGCAATAAAGAGGAAACACAAAAGAACAGTGAGAGTTGCTGTAAGATAATTTTATTATTTCCGAGAGAGGATTTAAACACACTTCTGTTATCCAATTTAAGCACTTAATGAAAGCGTTCCTGAGGTTTTCAAGGCAGTTATTTGATTTATGAGTCATGTTCTTGGCTGTCCAGGATGACAGTGGGTGGCTTTTTAAAAAAATCTCCTCTGCAGAAGGGCGCAGTCTCTGGCTTCGCCAGACTAAACAGGAGTGCTGAGAGCGTCTTGCTGAGCAAGGTTCTCACACAGGGTGCTCTGTAGACAGGGCACCACTGGGAGGCCAAATAAATGCCAATGCCAACAGGCACGCTTCCAGCCTGTGCCTCGCCTGGGGCCTGGGGTACAGGGTCCTTCCTCCAACCCTGGCCAAGTGTAACTGGCCTTGGAAAACGCTGAGTGACAGCTCCTCCTAGACTTGGTCACATCAGCTAAGCAGCTGCCTTGAAGTGCTGGGCATCCCCAGGGGCTGGGGTCCTGAACCGGGACCACGGAAGCTCCCAGCTCAGGCCGAGCCACAGCAAAAAGGCAGCCCCGCCCTGCGACTCGCTCAAAAGCCGCTCATCTGGCTCCAACCAAGCCCTGCAGAAGTGGAATGACTGAGAGCTTCGGAATCTTAGAACCCAAGTTCACTGCCACACCAGCACAAACAAGTTGCCTCCCTTCCCTTTTGGTATAAATCAAATGATTTAATCTGTAATTCACAAAGCCTGGCTGTTTACTGAACAATTCAATGAAGATCAGAGGCCTGTATGAAACTTCTCCCAGGGAGTTAATATGTGGTTTATACCTCAGATCTTTTCTATGTGGATATATCTAAGTGCAGCTTAATTACCGTTATTCTGATTTGGTAGCATTCCAACAGGTACTTAAAAAGCAGCTCTCCACCCTGGGAATGGGGAGCTGCGACAGACCGCTGCTGCCCAGCTCTGGGGCTCAGCCCTGTCCAGATCATAAAGGTGCTCCTCCCTATGGAAGCTCAGATCAGGGGGCAGCTGGGTGTGGACCCCTGTGATTGCTGTTAAAATTCTTTTTAACCCATGCTACACAAGTGCCTTCCAGACCTAGTTCTGTGACAGGGGAATGATTTTCTGAAATCGCTCAGCTCCCAAGTCCAACCCCATTGGTTGGCTTTGTGGTCCCTGGCAGGCTCTGTCCCCTGGAGCCCAATTACCTACCCTGAAATGTGACATACTTAGGACCTGCTCTTACTGTATGGAGGTGAGACTCCATGCCGCATGGTTGGGGACGGCACACAGAGATCACATGAACCCTTACCACAAAAGGAAGCCAGGTTTCTCCTCCTAGAAGACCTAGTTTCTAATACTCCAGGTGACGACATGGCCTGGCTTCTGGGACCCAAGGCCTTAGGTATTCTTGTTAGGGAGGAAGGCAGACTGGCTATGTGTGAGAGGGACCCAGGGTAGGAACGTAACAGCCTTAGAAGCATGCTCTGGGAGGAGCTGGGTATTTACACAACTGAAGCCCTGCCCATGTCCCACAACCTTGTAGAGGGATCCAAGCCTTCCTCTCTACCCAACCCCCATCTCCCTGGCCCAGCACCTTGGGGGCTACTGGATCTGGTAACACCCGGGAGGAAATGCACAAATGTCACGGCCGTTTGCCCAGCCAACATCCCAGAAGGGGCGAGAGGAAGTGGACCCTATAGCCATATACACGCCTGTGTAAATGCAGACTGGGCACTGGGCTCCTTGCTGAGGTTGCCCACGCCACCTGTCTGTGTGCCGATTCATCTTACCGCCCAGCTCTGTCTCCAGTCTGAAATTCTTACAAGGACCTCTGTGCCAGCCGCCTCCCGCAACAGTCTCACCTGCAGCCCTCACGGACCGGTGTGTGAACAGGGCCCGAGGAGCAATGCCGGGCGCGGGCAGGAAGGCTGGTAGGAGCGCTGCTTTCTAAGGGACAGCGCTCCTGGATCCTAGGTTTAGCAAAAGCACTTAGGAGAAAAAGGCTGGACGTGCACGGAAGTGTGTGGGGTGGGTAAAGGGGGTGGCACCGTGTGACTGCTGACAGAAATGGTTCCCGCTTTCTTGTTCTTCTTTGGGGTGACAAGCTGCGAGCCCGCACCTCGTCAGCACCGCCAGCCTTGTTCCTGGCTTCTGCTACTGTCCTTTAAAAGACCCGTGCGTTCTCAGCGGTCGACCCCAAGACTTTTTTTTTGTCTTCTCTAAGTCGTGCGCCGGGGCCACACCCCCAGGGATCCCGCTACTTTGCCCACCTTCCGGGCCTGCGGGGAACCCGCGCACACCTGAGCGCCCCCGCGCACCGGGACCCCGTCACTACGCCCCAGCGGGGCCCTCCCTGCCGAGTCCCGGCGCCCGCAAGTTCGAGCCCGCCCTCGGCGCCCGCGCGAGGAGAGAAAGTGCAAACGACCAGTACCGGCGGGCGGGTGTCCAGCTTTAGTCTCTAGTTTCCCTTCGGGAGGCGACGACATGGTGCCACCGGCTTTCCGAGGGGCTGGGGCTGGGGCTGAGGCGGCGGCGCGGCTGGCTGGCCTGGCGGGAGTGCGCGTGTGAGCGACACGCCAGCGGAGGGAGAGGGAGGGAGGGCGCGCGCGTGAGCCAGGAGCGCGCGTGCCCGCGGCGAGCCGGGGCCGCGCAGGAAGACGGACTGCCGCCGCGGGGCGCCGACGTGGCGCGGCCCCGCCCACCTGGGGCGTGCGCGATGACGCCGTGCGGCCGGCCCCGCGCGCGCCCGGCACGGGGCATGCGCGATAGGCAGCGCCACGTTGGAAGTCGTGGTAGCGGGCAGAGGAAGAGGCTGGGCCCAGGCTGGCAGGAAATTGGAAAGGGGCCAGCGCGAGGACGACGCCCGCTTGCAGCGTCGATGGCCAAGTCGCCACGGGCAGACCGGCGACGGCGGGGCCTCTGTGTTAGCGCCCCGGGCGCTGCTCAGCCTGAGAAAGCAGAAGCGAGACCCAGATGGGGCCTGCGCGGAGATAGCAGGCGTGTGTTAAACAGGGAGCCACGGGGCTGAGGGACCGGGCCGCCGTCCCTCCGTGTCCGGCTCGGCCCTGTGGCGGTGGGCCTCGGTTTGGTCCAGAGCCCATCCCTCGCCCCTGTGCTCAGGGTCGCTTCCCTCTGGCCTTGCCAGGGCACGTGGCCACCATGGCTGACCTCACCGGCAGCGGCCCCGTGGTGGCTACGGTTCTGCCTTGACCTTGACCTTTGGCAGTGAAACTGTTCGGAGAGGTTCCTCGCTCCTTCCGCAGTCCTGCCGGTGTACTGGTTTCCATGCAACTCGCCCACGGCTGCTCCCAACCAGGAAATTCTGTTGCAGCTTGGGACTGCCACGCTACCAGTCTCATGGTCACTCTTGCATCATATCTCCCTTCTCCGCCTAGCTTTGGGGATGACCCATGGCTGCCCTTGTCATCCAGTTCTCAGCTGCCGAGGCTGCCTGTCCTAGATTTCTGAGTTTCCCCAGCCTGAGCACGGGCCCTCTCCGCTACACTTGGCTGTGATGGTGTCCCGGTCCATTTTCTGAGACTGAGTCATTTTTGAAGAACTGAGATGTAGTTGCTTCACAGTTCTGGACACGTGGAGGAAGTCCAGAGCGTGGGGCTGGCATCTGGGAAGGACCTTGGTGCTACACCATCCCGTGGCAGAGGTTCAAGGAAGAACAAGGGAAGGCTGAGCACACGTGTATGAAACACTCTCTCATAATGACTACCCCACTCCTACAACAGCGACCTATTCGTGGGGGCCCAGCCCTGCTGCTCTAGTCACCTCTTTTTTTTTTTTTTTAAATTATTTGAAAGAGTTACAGAAAGAAAAGGAAGGACAGAATGACATCTTCCATCTGCTGATTCACTCTCAAGGTGGTCGCAGTGCCCAGGGCAGGAGCCAGGTGCTTCATCTGGGTCTCCCACATGAGTAGTAGGGCCCCAAGCACTTGGGTCGTGCGCTGCTGCTTTTCGAAGACCATTAGCAGGGGACTGGATTGGAGGTGGAGCAGCCAGGACACGAACTGGTGCCCATATGGAATGCTGGTATGCAGGCAGCAGCTTTACCCATTACACCACAACACTGGCCTCAAGTCACTTCTGTTAGGCCCCATCTACTGACATTGTTGCATAGGGGATTAAGTTTCCAACACATGAACTTTGGTGGGACATATTCAGGCCCATGGGTATGATCATTGTCCTGTTGATTATGGATGCCACACCTGTTTTTCTTGACTGAGCTCCAGATGCAATAACCCGCTGCCCCGCTGAGTCTGCACATGGGTATCCAACTCAGTGTTGCTCTGTTCTTTTTCTGTCAGGACACACATAAACATGCATATACCATGAACTGCTCTTCCCCTCCCCTGCTAAATTTCAGCATCACTAACAGCAGGATAGCTGTTGGCCAAGTGGCAGTCATGATACAGTTGTCATTGTCTGGCATTCACATCAAAACTTGCAGACTAGTGACAGCAGCTTGGAAGAAGATCCTGAAATCAATAGTGGAACATTTTTTGATGAGACACTGTATCGCTCATACCCTTAATGGAATGGAGTGAGAAAACAGGAAGACAATGACTTGAGTTCTGAATGGACAGAAGCTTTAGGAATACCTAGCCAATTAATTTTATGAATATTTTCCTTTTTATGTCTGTGAGAATGCTCTCTGGTTAAAAACTTATATTTTAATAGGTCTAAAAGAACTGTTTCTAAGAAATATAGAATGAAAATATTATGTTGAAAGAAAAATTGTATCAGTTCAACTGGCAGCACTTTTTCCCCTCATAGTAAGTTGCATTTAGGAGCCATACCATGTTAGACCCAATACCATATGGCGAACACTGGTGTGAAAGAAAGAGCAGGACTTCCCAGGGTTCTGGTGGCTCCAGACCCACTGGACTTCCCTGAGGCCTGAGAAGATCCATGTCTTTGCCTGTGGCCTGGGACAACACTGATGGAGACACTCAGCTATAACAGCCAGGTCTAATTTCCTGATTCACTGACCTGCCCACAAATAGCTTCCCATCTAGAATAGAATCTAAGCTGTTCATTACAGTGTGGCTTACTCTGCCTACTCAGTAGTATCCCTATGAAAAGAAATAGTTATTTAAGAAGATCATGAACTTAGACTGAGCAAAAAATATTTTTTAGCCTCTCTTATAGCTGAAGATGGCCAAGTGACACAGTGCTGGCCATTGAAATGTAAGTGAAATCTGTAGGAGAATTTCCGAAGGGATGTTGCACCCTTGAAGTGAGTGTGGCCCTTCTGCCTGGTAGCTTTGTTGTTCCTACCATCTTGAATGCTAAAAGAAGGCAGAACACAGCTGGCGCCATGGCTCACTAGGCTAATCCTCTGCCTTGCGGTGCCGGCACCCTGGATTCTAGTCCTGGTCGGGGCACTGGATTCTGTCCTGGTTGTTCCTCTTCCAGTCCAGCTCTCTGCTTTGGCCCCAGAAGGCAGTGGAGGATGGCCCAGGTCCTTGGGCCCTGCACCCGCATGGGAGACCAGGAGGAAGCACCTGGCTCCTGGCTTCGGATCGGCACAGCGTGCCGGCCACAACACACGACCACTTGGGGAGTGAACGAACGGGAAAAGGAAGACCTTTCTCTCTCTCTCTCTCTCTGTCTAACTCTGCCTGTCAAAAAACAAACAAACAAACAAAAAAACAAAGCAGAAGGCAGAACAGTCACACTGCAGCTCTGAACCGAGCAGAATCATGTGCGGAAGGTGGCAGAGCAGAAAGTCAAAGGCATGCGGTACTTCATAGCTGTCTTCTGCAATCTCCCATTTATTGCCTGTCCTCACTGACTCCTGTGTTGGCTCAACAAGAGGCAATATCACGTCTATCTGGCTGGATGTTGTATTCCCAGCAAGAACCATGGTCGGTACAGAAGACACATTCAATAGGTATTTTCTCCCATAATTCTAGAGCATACATACATACAATTTCTCATGACTGTTACCTGAACTAAGAGAGGGGTACATAGAGAATGAAAAATACCTATAGTACTAAACAGTGTGGGAAGCAGGGCCCGGCTCCCACAACATGGCGCTGAGAGGGAATAAACAAGTTCTACACAGCGGCTTTGGCTAATTTGACTAATGAGTTGCAGGAGCAGACCCAACCTCTGATTGGAAGAAAGCGGTGTGCTCAGCACGCAGGCGGCGGAGCATGGATTGTTGGAAGAGGACTATAAAAGGGGACTCAACTGCACTTTCTGGGACAACTACTGTCTCTGGGCTGGTGGAAAGTTCGGGGGGTGGAGAGTTGGTGGAGAGTTCGCTGGGGAGCTCATTATTTCGGCCTTCTCTTTACCTGTTCTTGCGTTGCTATAGAGAAAACCTACAGCAAGGGAAAAACAGCGTCCGGTCCGGTGCCTCTCCTCCGCTCGCGGAGGAGCAACAAACAGCACGTGACCAGTTATCTTTTCTGACACTTTCATCCTGAGACTTTCTGGGTGTGCATATGTGTGTGACACGTGTGCATGTGTGTGTCCTGCCACACCAGTGCTAGGGCCTGAGGATAATTGCCAGGTACTGTATACCCACTGAAGCTCTCTGGGTGTGCATACTGAGTAGTTTTTATTAGAATTGTTGACTAAGTAATCTTAACTTTAATATCACAATACCTCTGGGAGTAAAGCAGGTCAACTCATTTCACCAAGGAAAGCAAAAACAAACAGAAGGAAGAAGGAGTGTTGAACTCATATGGCATACAGCTCTGATGAGTGGGAGCTGGGCCCAGAGACTGCGTGCTCTATGCCCCATTCCTGTGCTCCCTCTACCCCCACTGTTGCTTGACTTCTAGAACATTTTTGGAGCCATTTCCCCTTTTTCTGTATGTGGGCTCTTTGCTGATCTCAAATGGTGCTGAAAAATAACGGTGCTGAATCTAAGATAATGTGGCTGCTGTTAGCACTGGAAAAAGTCTGTAAGGAAGAAAGGGAATGCAGATTCTCTTCTCTCACTGTATATTTTGTAACCTTGGTGACAACACTGAACCTTTCTGGACCTCAGTTTCCTTATCTTACAATCAGATATGAACAATAATAGCACTCTCAGGGGTTCTGTTAGAATCCAGGGCTTTGACTAAATGCTGCTACACTGCCACAGCCTTGTAGCTTTGTGCATCTCATTCAGTCTCCCCCACCCCCCCGCCCCAGAATCCAGAGACCCAGGGAATTCTCTGTCCTTTTGATCTATAAAGGGCCAAGCACAAGCATTGGTGGCCAGTGTGAGTAGACCCGAGAGAGCCCAGCTCTTGCCACTGTAGTAGCCGTGCATTCTAAAGTGCTTCGTGAGCCACAAAATACTAGAGAATGGACTGTTATTTCTGCAAAGGGGGTTTCCCATCAGCATTCATGAAATACATGAATTGTTCCATGGTGTATTAACCCCACATATCAATCAGTGCAGTGAATGCACTTTATTCCAGGCTGGCGTCGACTTTCTGTGCTGTTGTGCTGTTGTCGGACAGATGAGAATTTTTATATTCTTATTTATGGTACAGAATTTCTCTTCTATTGTTGATTTTGCTATAAAGGGAGGGGAGCAGTCCTTCTTGAATTTGCTTTGTAATCCCTAAGATATTTCTTATTCAATGATATTATTTAGGCTTTAAATAATGTCAATTTAAGTATAATTTAT